ACATATACTAATACTAAGTGCATTTAAATAACTACTAAAATTATACTGGGACTGGCTGAAATATAAATAAATATTTCATAGTAATTATCAGAATTGTTCTCTTGCCTAAATTTCCCATACATAACAATTAACAAAATTCCTTCTCGCTACCAACAAAATCTCTATCGGCACTAATAGAATATCTTCTTAATTAATATAGCCCTCAAGCTCCAAAATTTTCAACACATAATAAATAATAAAATCTCTTCTTGCTATTGAAAATAAAGTGTATTTTACACTATTGAAGCAATCACAATATTATTGTATAATTCAAAAAATGCTATACCGATTGTCAATAATTCCCCACCAGGTTTTTTATAGTTTGTTAAAAATAAGTTTTCAAAATGGCCTAAATTTCTCATACATAACAATTAACAAAATTCCTTCTGGCTACCAACAAAATCTCTTATCGCCACTAATAGAATCTCTTCTTAATTAATATAGCCCTCAAGCTCCAAAATTTTCAACACATAATAAATAATAAAATCTCTTCTTGCTATTGAAAATAAAGTGTATTTTACACTATTGAAGCAATCACAATATTATTGTATAATTCAAAAAATGCTATACCGATTGTCAATAATTCCCCCACCAGGTTTTTTATAGTTTGTTAAAAATAAGTTTTCAAAATTTTCATATTACCAAGATTATGTATAAGAGCATTCTAAAGCTTTAATTGAACTAAAACATTATTTTTAGATTTCAATATAAAATTTTGAATTGATAAAAATCAATGCATTTCAAAATCACTTGATAAAAAATCTTAAATAAATACTCAAAATAATCAGAACAATTTTACCGACATCATATCAACAGTTATGCGGATCAAAGTTACCATAATCCAAGAAAACCGTGTTGTTTGTAAAACCAAATTATAGATTAGATAAGAAAAATTCTAAAAACTCTAAATTATTGAAAATTGTGACAAGCAAAACATAACATATCTCGACTTGAGCAACTTTTTGAACTAGGCTGACAACCGAAAATGACCCGAAGCAGCCCAAATCCTCCTTTCTTTCTCTAAAATCATGCTCCTTCTCTCTTTAGGTCATGGATTGCATGAGAAGAAATGGAATGAATAGTAATAAAAAGATATTTTTAATTAATGTAGAAATTTGGCCTAGTGCCGGGGTGCAACTATGCTAGTGTCGGAGTGCTAGTTCATTTTCCAATTTCTAGAGATCACAACATCAGGGCACTGCTATTCCAACACTAGGGCACTTCAGGGGAAAAATTTTAGATTTCATAAACATGCATTCTAACAACTGAAATTTGCTTCAAAACACATGTAGACATTTTTTATACACAGATCATTATCAGACATATGCAATAGAGTTCAAATGTAAAAATTAAATAGGTTATTTTACTTCTAGTCGGATTAGATCAGTTTGAATAGTACTATGATTTCGGATGTCTCACACTAGCTTAAATAATGTTATATAAATAAAGTTTTATAATTGAGTGATTTTTTTTTTATTAAATAAGAATTATTCTGTCATTGATGCCTTTGATCTACTAAGAATTCCACCATGAATTGTAAGTAATACTATATCAATGATTTGTTAGATTGTCCCAATAAGGGCAGTTATTTAATTTAATATTATTGATATTATTCTCATCATATCACTAGTCTATGATTGGAGTTGAGTAATGTTGAAATACTTCTCTCTAAGTTGAGAAACTAAGTTAGTAAAGGAAACAACGATCTATTAGTTATCACTAATGTCATTATTGGCTACTGATGCCGTCTTTGATTTCCAAACTATTTGTTGAAGGATATGTGATTTAATATATCATTTTTGGTTAGAAAAGTCTTAATTAGTGTGACTATGGTGGAGGGGTCAGCATAAACTTGATTATTAAGACTAAAATTATCCACTACCATAAAAAAAGTTGGGTTATAATTGCTTCTTCTTATATGTCAATGGGAAGGACCCATTGACTAGACACAAGGGGCATCCATAAAATTACTTTCATTTGGTTGTTAGCCAATGTAAGGGCAATGAAAAACTAACTTGCCCTTTGTGGACCTATAGGTGCATGGAACCCACTATTTGAGAGCAAATGCCATCTACATGCTATTATTAAGGGGCCACTAATCATTAAAATGATAAATGAGAATTGACTTGTCCTTTGCAAACCTACCATTAGAACCCATTGAAAGAAAGAAAAAAGAAGAAAAGATTAGCTCTATTTGATTGGTATAAAAAAGCTATTAAATAGTTGAGACAGTCAATTGGAGTGATAGACGTCTCTCATGTGTCATCATTCAAAATGATGAGTAAAATCCTTAAAATGGGGCATTACTAACATTATGTAAGATTATTGATGACAAATTATACTAATTACACATATTATAATTGTATTGGATATTTCAATTAATTGATACTCACTAACAGGACCTTATGCATGCACTGATAGGATGACTATGTCAATCATATGATGAAGGATCCTAATAGTGCTAGGAAGAGATGACACATCACATGATCTAAGAGTGATTGAAAGAGGGACCACCATAATAAATGTAGCATCCTCCTCACTAGAACTCTTACGGAGCAAAGAAAACTACTGCTTAAAATGAAAGGAATGACATCTATTTATTGAGATGGTTGTCCTTGGATGATTACTACATGTATTGCTTCTTAGCACAACCACTTATTCTCATTAATTTGTAGCACATATTCTAAGGTTATAATATGAGACTTATGCATCACACAGTAGGGCAACACCTATACAAATGATAAGGATATGGTCACAAATAAAGGCATGACATCAAAATATGAGCTATTCATTATGCACAACACTCCAAACAAGCTCATGGACAACCTTAATCTCACTAAAATTATTAAAGAATAATTAAGAAACTTAATTTAAAGTACCATGATGGGTAAGTTTTTCACACTAATCAAAGAGAACAATATCAAATGTTATTTTATTTCAAGGCCACTCTATCTATCTTATTTGGTTTGGCCAAATTGTCTTCCTTTTAGAAGCTTTAAATTATACTATTTTACTTATTATCTTTTCCTTTTGTATTAGGACAAGCCATCAATCTATATAATAGTAGTTTATTAGCTCTTACGGCATCTCAAACTTGGTTAGGCCTAAAGAAGGCATTTGAATAAGATCTCATTTTATTATTTTAATTCATTAAATAAAAATTAGCTTTTGCTAGTGTAAATTTCATACAAAAAATGCTTGGTGGTTGATCCGGTAGGGCTTTGGTGAGTCCCTAGCTATCTTTTCTCACCCCTACTATTCTTCTCTTTCAACACGATTCCCCTTCTCCTCCACATTAGGCATGGCCAACCTAAAATATATTGGATATATCTAGAAAGCTATAGGACTTACAATCTTTAAAGATATAAAGAATATCTATTGAGAGAGGTGAATAAGATAGGCCAATTATATACAATTAGAGGTACTTAATTAAGACTTCCAATCATATCTAGATATGGAAAGCTACTACCTAATTTTCTATATAACCACCTAAATGTATAATTAAATAATGATGTTAAATTCAACTATATCATGTGGGATATGATATGAATGCAAGTTATCTATTTTGAAGGTGAGGGGCTTCAATTGTGTATAGACAGAGGTTTTGACAACTAACAAGCTAGGGGTGCCAAAAATTGACACGACTCGAAAACCCTAGTCGAATCTTACATAAAAATTTCAGGTTCGGGTCAACTTGAACCCGAAATGGGCTAGGTTCAGGTTGACCAAAAAACCCGACAATTACCCGATTTTGACTCGAAGAAGCGCACGAAAGGGATAAAGTTAGTTTCACAGCGAGCGAACTCACATTGTTATTTGCTACTGATCAAAAGGTTATTACATCCAATCCGACTGGAAGGGAATGTCATCCAAGGAGCGTAGTCGAACATCAATGAAAGAGCTTCATAGCGAGCGAAGTAGCGACCTCCCGTTGTTGCTTCCGATCAAAAGGTTGTAACTTTCGATCAGATCGGAAGGGAACGTCGTCCAAGGGGCAAAGTCAAACTGCAATGAAAGAGCTTCACAACGAACAAACTCCCATCATTGCTTCTGATCAAAAGGTTGTAACTTCTGATCTGATTGGAAGGGAACGTCGTCCAAGGAGCGAAGTCGAACTACAGTGAAGGAGCTTCAACGCCTTCACAGCAAGCATACTCTCGCCGTTGCTTCCGATCAAAAGGTTGTAACTTCAGATCCGATCAGAAGGGAACGTCGTCCAAGGAGTGAAGTCGAACTGTAATGAATGAGCTTCAACGCCTTCATAGCAAGCAAACTCCCGTCGTTGCTTCCTATCAATAGGTTGTAACTGTCTATCCGATCGGAAGAGAATGTCGTCCAAGGAGCGAAGTCGAACAACAATGAAGGAGCGGGGAGCTGGCTAGCGAGCGAACTCTCGTCGTTGCTTCTGATTTGACTTGAAGGGAAAGTCATCCAAGGAGTGAAGTGGAACGTCGTCACGGGTCGGGTTTGGGTTGACCCGAACCCAAAGCGGGTCGGGTTCGAAAAACTGACACGTTTGCAAAAATGGGCTGGGTCCGGGTTGACATGAATAGTGTTGGGTCAATTCTGGGTTCGACCCGAACCCGACTCGTGACCCGAAATTGACACCCTTTATAATAAGCTCAACTCTATCCTTTTCTAGGAGACACAGAGAGAATTATTCTTAATTAAAAAGTTAGCATGAAACCATGCATTTAATTTTTAAAAAAATAATAGAGTAAAGCATAGGGAACCAACAAAGTAGTTTAAAAGAATAATAGAAAGCCAGTGCAATTGGGCTCTACATATACATTATCAAATAAATATAAAAAAAGACAGCTTCGTTCTGCATAAGGAACAAGTTCTAAAAAAAACGCCTATAAATAAATACCTGCTGAGGTCTTTCTTATATTCCATGTAGGATTTTGGTCCGCATAAGAGTTGGTCAGCACTTGCCTTCCTTTTCAACCGCTTCTCCATACCTTTAGAACCAATGAATCAAAACACCGAAAAAAGACCATTAGTCCCCTACATTCCATCTCCCTCTTAAATTCATCGCTTCTCTCTCTCCTCCATTTGCATCTTCAAATCAGGCTACGATTCCAATGCAACGATTGCTCTGAATTCTTCCATCTCGCTGCATTCTCAATTTCTTTGGCCATTCTCTCTATCTAGGATAGGTTCCAATTTCCCATCCTCAAATCAATGCGATACGTTCATGGGCAATACATGCCGTGGTTCTTTCGAGAGCAGGTACTTCCAAGAATATGGAGAGGCTACAGATCGTTTGGGAAGTAAACACAGCTCCTGGTCTCTCGATCATTCGGTTTCTTCTTCTTCCGGCGACGAAGACCAAAAGGTCGCTCGCGGCGGGGCGGCGATGGCTATGGCTCGGGCCTTGGATTCGCAGGCGATATCGGTGCTCGGTCATAAGACCGCGAACATCCACGATTTGTATTTTCTAGGTAGGAAATTGGGTCAAGGGCAGTTCGGTACAACGTATCTATGTACGGAGGTCGCGACAGGGTTTGAATACGCTTGCAAGTCGATCTCGAAGAGGAAGCTGATTACGAAGGAGGATGTCGACGATGTGCGTCGTGAGATCCAGATAATGCACCATTTATCTGGGCATAAGAATGTGGTGCAGATCAAGGGCGCATATGAGGACCCCCTGTATGTGCATATTGTTATGGATCTGTGTGCAGGAGGGGAACTTTTTGATCGGATTATACAGAGGGGGCATTATAGCGAGAGGAAGGCGGCGGAGTTGATTAAGATAGTTGTGGGTGTTGTTCAAGCTTGTCATTCCCTTGGGGTGATGCATAGGGATCTTAAGCCGGAGAACTTTTTGCTTGCGAGTAAGGATGATGATTTGTCTCTGAAGGCCATTGATTTTGGGCTTTCGGTGTTCTTCAAGCCAGGTAAGATATTTGCGTAATAAATACAGTTTTTCTTGGCAAATGTTTTTTTTTTTAAAGACAAATTCATAGGCCAACAGATCAAGAATAGCTGAGTGCAAATGGCTTTCTTATTCTTCATCGTTGTCTCACTAATTATGATTATGTTGCATTAAAATCCTATGGGGGCTGGTCAAATGATCACGTCCTTCACTGCTTATCTTTTAGTCATATATATCGGGAAACATTAGAAATTTCGTTTATGTTTGGTATTGTTTTGCTTGCTTTTTGTTTCTACTTCGGTAATAATTTTTGTTATGCTGAGCTCAGTAACATGAGCTTGTAACCCAAGTGGGGGTATTAAGGTCTTTAGATGGTTCATCCGTTTCAATTGCCGGTTTGCATTGGGCCGAAGTCTGCCCGGCCCGATTCGATTCAGGTTTGCAGTTAAATGCTGCCGCTATCGGCGAAAGCCTTAGTTAACCTCTCTGAAGTAGAAGAAAGTAAGAGGCTGCTCTGGTGTTATTTTCCGTTTTTACTGCTTGTTTTCAAGTTTAAAAAAAGAATCAATATGTTTTGCGAAAATTAAAGTACAACTATTTATGCTTATAGAACTACAAACCAAGAAATTTATTTCTTTGATAAAAAAAAAAAATTGCATAATTTAATTTATACTCATTTAACATTGTTAATTCATTTTTAATTTTTAATTTTTAATCTAATTAAACTGTAATTATTGTCAAATCATGTGCATTACAATATTACAGTAGTGACACTGTATCTTATATGCTATTATGTTAATATAAAAATAATAATACAATTAAATGAAGGAAAATATAATAAAAATTTAACATACAATTTAATGACGGCGACAACAACATCAAATCTTTATCCCACTGTGTGGGGCTAACATATAATTTAATTGATGTAAATAATTTATAGGACTACAAAATGATATGAAAGATTTTCAAATTAGTTTTTATAGATGTTAAGTTTTTTTTGCAAGTTTTATAAATTTTAATATTTGATAATTTATCACAAAATATTATATCATTAGTTTTGCTTAAAATTTCAAGTACTAGGAGTTATAGGTAATATATAATGATTAAATTTTATTTTTTATATTAATATTTATTTATTAAATAAACTTGTTAATATAATGCGTTATTTTTTAATAGATAAATTTAGTATTCTCAGTATTATACTTAGATTTATTGTACTTAATGAATTAATAGACATTTAGGGCAGCATATGTGATGCCCCAGAATCTAAATTGAAAGAATTATTCATTTGTCCTTTAAATAATCAACAACTAAAGTATCTGATATTATCTATTGGTAATAAATAGTACAATATATTTTATAATTTAAAACATCAATGTAAATATCTATATTCAATCCCAAAAGTCATACACCACTCATGATTATAACAAAAAGAAACATAACCTGAAGAATCCTGACCAACCTCACACTCTTGAATGTCTGCCCTGACCTGAAATTATTTAACCACATATAATGAGCTTAAAAAGCTCAGCAGGTCATCAAACTCTATAACTAAATTCAAAGCATGGTAAATAAGCAATATGTTGTCAACAATTAAAATATTTTCATATGATCATTAAATCAATGCAAAAAAAGTAAAATTCACATGTAGTAGTAGTGAAATCTGTAAACAATAAAGCACTATGATACAGAAGCCAGTAAAGTGATAAACTAGTACGGGAGTCAAATCTATAAGGAAATAATTTCATCCGTACAAAAATCAGATAAAACGTCAAATCCAAATATCAATAAAGATTGTCGAAATCATGTCAATGTAGTAAAATTGTATAAGAGTGTACACATACTATCTAGTTATTCTATCTCACTTGCTCAGTATATCACATGCATAATATCAATGCAGTGAATCAGTAGTGTCTAATGATATCAGTATCTATATCAGTAATAGTAACAATCCAGTGGCATGAGCAGTAGAATAATGCAATTACAGTAAATTTGTACAGTAACAATAAATCGGTACAATAATAAGAACAATACTTCAAGAACATGCATTTCAGTAATCTCACTAAACAAGTAAGAAGTCCTGGATATCACGGTGTTTTTCAGTGTTAGTATCAATATTAGTAAACTGTTGGCTCAATAAATAGATTCGTCACTCTTTACCCGTCAGCATAGTAATAATCTCCTTATAACTCCCAATTAGTATATCATGTGAATTAGTAGAGGATAACATTAAATCATAATATTTAAAGGAAAGCCCGTCGGCCCACCATCATGTACATATCAATCAGTCTCCAACCAACAGGTCAACTAATATTTACTTGTTTGTTTCATGCAGACATATTATTATAACAATACTATAATAGTAATAGCAACCAGTTATTACTCAAGCAAATATCCACATCCATTTTTAAGACAGTGCGATAAATAATATATAAACGAGCTTAATTAAGAAGATGCCAACATATAATGGTAGACAACAAATAATCCTATTAAGCAAAAATATACATTTTCAAAAAATTACAAAATTATCAGGAATTGTATAAAATAATATTTTAAGACTTTTATTCTACTACACTACTATTTTTAGAAGTCAGAATAAATTTTGGATTAGATAAAAATCGCTGTATTTTCAAAATCACCCAATAAAAAATCTCAAATAAATACTCAAAATGCTCATAATCATGATCTCTATAGCATACAAAAAGTTATGCAGTGAAAGTTTTGCCAATACAAAGTTATACACGTTTTTCGGTAACTGAAACATAAAATTGATCAAAAAAATACCAAAAACACAAAATGTTTGAAATCAGAAATATGATATGGATTCCTTATAGCGAGACGAGCAAATCTCCCAACTAACCCGATGGATGAAAATTATACCGCGGCCTCCAAATTCGAACCTTTTCTTTCTCTCTCCTCTTTTTCTCTCACAAAACCTCTCATGCTAACTCTCTGTTGCCGAAATCAAGAGAAGAAAAGGATTTTAATAAAGTCATCTTAAGTGCCCTTAGATATTTATAATAAAATAATATTATAATATTAATATAATACTTAATTAAATTAATTTTTTAGTATAAAATTAAAATAAATCATTGTATGTTTCAAAAATTAAAAAAATATATTCATAAAATAAATCATAATATTTAAAAAATATCGGTGAAATCGGTTTGCAAATCGGACACCTAAAGGTCCCGAAATCCTCACTTGTACCAACATGTACAAATTCCTTAAAGATTTTCCCCTGTGTCCAAAAATTATGAAAAAAATTTGTGTAAGTAAAATACTTCGATCAAAATACCATGGCGAAGACGAATTACGATTTGGAGTTATAATGACTAGAAAAAAATTTGGCAAAGTCCAAATACAGGTTATTACAACATATATGCAAGACTCGAATTCAAAACCTCTTGTTTGGTAGTCAAAGCTCCCAACCAACAGATCAAGGTGTGCGTAATTTCGAAATCTTTTATCATGAATTTCTTCCACTTGGCGGATACATTGTTGCATGATGGAGATCAATACTGTTGGGTAAGTCTGCACATGAATCATTTGCTCTGTCTATTCCTTTCCTACAATAAGGCAATAAACTGGAGAAGCTTGCCCAAGGGGCTTTCTTGAATCCTTGATGAGGTCCATCAATGCTTAAGCCAAATAAATGTCATTTCAAAAGAGACTAAGGCTATCTTTGGCATTTTTGTCCCAAGTTTGTTGTGTTGTGCAAAGGTATAAAGGTACGTAATCGGATATTGAGCTTTGTTTTTGTGAGATGAGGAGTAGATCTTATGGTGTTTTTAGGCATAAATTTTAAAATTAAATTAGTTCAATGTATAAAAAATAGCAATTGAGAATACTTTTTTCTTAAGACTCAATAATAAGTGACATCATTAAAAATTGAGCTTGATTTCCTTCTAATAAAACATTTCAGATTGATTCAAAAATGCTTAAGTAACATAATAAAAAAGTAGTTATACAAATACTCAATAATAAGCAAAAGTCTAAGATAAATATTAAAAAAAGTTTAAAAGTAAATAAGTTAACATGTCATAAAATAAACTAACAATGACTTGGGAATATGAATTCAAAAGTCTCCTCCAATCTCATAACTTATATGGTGTTTATTGAATTCATCATCGCAGTTGATTGATTTTTTTGCCTCCCCATCCTTGTATCAATATCCTCCAAATCTTTATCATTTTTAATCTCCATAAACTTCTTCTTTCCTAATCAATAAAATTCAATAAAAATATTATTTAAAATGACGATTATATTAATTTTTCATAATTTATATTACATAAAATCTATTCTAATATTGTTTGTTAATTTCTTATAGATTTATGTTGTTCTTGTTATTTCTTCCATATGAAAAGTCAACATTGAGATTTGTGTCTTGTAATTGTGAGGCTAAAACTTTATTTTCATCATCCACAAATTATTCATCATCTGCTCAGACAATATTAATAACCAAGGGATCTTTATCATCCCCCAAAACTTTCTTTGTCAAATGACCTTCTTTAGTATATGTAAATCAATGAGTTTTTCTTTAATGTTGTCAAGCGATTTTTTGTTCTTTTAGTATCAGCTTGGTTATAAGTATTTCAATTTCATTCAAACTTTGATGACATTCATGTAAGGTTCAACACTTTGATTATAAATCTTTGTAATTCATGCGTTCTATCTCCAAATTAAATTCACTACTCAACTAATTTAAAAAAAAATAAAAATAATGATCATATTAGCATAACATATAAATTTAAAAGCTTAACCAATGTTCAATAGGTAGTGTCTATAAAAAACTTGGATTTTACTTATTAGAAGATTTTGGCTATAGCATCTTGAACTTTTTATTCAGTGAATCGTATTTTAGCTTGATAGAAGTGATAGCTATTTAAACTTGTCAAACAACATGAAAATTTCTTGGCTTGGCATGATATTAATATGTTCAATGAATTGGCCAAGTGGTACATCATCTACTTTTGTTTCATTTTGGCACTAATCTTAAATAATTTGTGCTCCCTTTTCTTTGTCCCAGCTTCCTTTTACTGATATAGATCTTTTTGAATTGTTTGTGTTCCTTAAATTTGTTTTCTTATGTTTGATTTTTTATGTATCATTTGAATTTGAGTTGAATGCTAGAATCTGGAATCTATATTCTTTTGGTTGTTAATTTACTTGAAGTTGAGATGTTTTAGATCCACCTCATCAAGATGAATGGTTTTAGAATATTCAGCAAGCGATAACCTGTAAAATCATTGAAATTTAAGTAGATAAAGGATTAAGGCATATTAATATCTGCAATTTACCTTAAATACAGAGAAAACAAAATAAATTCTCTGCCAAACCTTCATGTCCATCACTTGATGCCGACCTTATGGTTGAATCTTGTATTTTGCAAAATAAAGCAATGTGTCTTAAAATTTATTTACCATTTATATTCCTATTTTTTTAGTTCATCGTCATGGTTAGCCTAATCTTAACTATTTTAAGTCAACTTTAGAAATTCTTTTTTTTATTCATTTTTATTTAGTACAGATTATATTTGTGCAAGTTTTTTGGCACCTTGTTTAACTATATTTCTGCTGTATTCATTTCCACCTAATCCTTTTTAATTCCATTTATTTGCCTTATTTTTGAAGCAATTACATTAATAAGATTTGACTATAAAATAATTTTTTTCTTGTACATCTTGAAGACGATGTCAATGTAACTTCTTTATCAATTACGGTCTTTCAGTTCTAACAGGCTTAAAAGAATACTTACTCAACCTTCTGTCTTTTTATTTTCAAGCAATGTGCTTCTGCATAGAAAATCAATAGCTCTTCCTTGGGTTGAAATTATCGTGATTCTCTTCTTTCTAATGTAGGCCAGGTCTTCACTGATGTGGTTGGGAGCCCATACTATGTAGCTCCTGAGGTGCTTTGCAAACGCTATGGACCTGAGGCTGATGTTTGGACGGCTGGTGTGATACTCTATATATTATTGAGTGGTGTACCACCTTTTTGGGCTGGTATGAATTTGTAGCATCCCCATTTTCTTTCTACCTTGACAATCATTGTAATCGGCAAACCTAATGCTTTTCTTTTCTTTTATTCAACAGAAACACAACAAGGGATATTTGATGCTGTTTTGAAGGGTCACATTGATTTTGACGCGGAACCATGGCCCTCAATATCTGATAGTGCTAAGGACCTAATCAGAAAAATGCTCTGCCCTCGTCCTCAAGATCGCTTGACAGCACATGAAGTACTATGTGAGTTCATGATTGAAATGTATATGCTGGCAAACAGATATCCATGATTTCTCCTTTTGATCTCCTAGTGACAAAAATTCTCAAAGTGGTAATTTAAATCGATCAATAATACATTTAAATACACTGATGTGGATGTTAGTGTTTTCTTTCTCCCAGAAATCAATAGGGTAGGTGAATTCTAGTAGTTTTTTGACTCTTTTGACCGTCTGTTGGTGATATTCTAAGAATGTTAAAGAAGGATTCTATTTCACCTCCTTTTTTTCATTTGATAATATTTAAGAAGCCTGATTCCTTGTGAAAACCCTGAAATGGCCATAGGAATAAAAAAATATTAATGAATTGCTAGTTCAACCATGAAACTAGGAAGATATATATAATTTCTAAAAACAAGGGAACATGCCTGACATTTCCGCGCTCTTTAGTCATCTTACCAGCAGATCACTTTATTAAAAAAATTAAACTTTTATTTATTTATTCATAACACATGAAATGTCAGCGCTTATTAAAACTGGACTGTATTTGTGACTATGTGCATGATGATGAAAGGTGCTTGCTCGCAAGTGAGTGAATGGCAAACTTTAAGCATAAGAATCTTATGTTAATCCATACTTCCTCATGGCAGCACAACTGTCTGAAGACCGAATTGTCTGGCTCCTGCAAAATTCTTTTCTCAATAAATTAACCTTTTTGTCTATTTAAGTTGGGAAGTTATTTGATGTCCTTTAGCAAGTACAAATGATAGCTCAAGTCAAAGAGAAGATTTACAGCTGTAAATGAGATTAACTGCTACTTTTTCTATCTTTAGTTCATCCTTGGATTTGCGATAATGGAGTTGCTCCGGACCAGGCTCTGGATCCTGCAGTCCTTTCTAGGCTCAAACAGTTCTCCGCAATGAACAAATTGAAGAAGTTGGCACTGCGAGTGAGTATAGTTTATATTGCTTGTGTCTCAGAATTTTAGGATCCTTGCATGGGGTTGCTTACATCTTCTTTCTTATATGCTTTTTATTTAAGATTTTCGTAGAGTTCAGAATAGTATACATATCTTGCTAGATTCTTTTCAGGCCCCTCGTTGTGCTTATTTCTAAGAGAAATTTGTTTGATTCCAATCCAGGTTATAGCTGAGAGCCTCTCTGAAGAGGAGATTGCAGGCCTAAGAGAAATGTTCCTGGCAATGGATGTAGATAGTAGTGGGGCCATTACTTTTGATGAGCTGAAGGCTGGTCTGAGAAGATATGGCTCCACATTAAATGACACAGAGATCCGTGATCTAATGGATGCGGTGAGTCAGTCATTCGGTAAAACTCTGTTTCTACTGTCAATCATAGATCTTATCTTACAATAGAGTATTAAAACGTAGATATGCCTGTAACAGCATACTTCTAAATTTATGAACTCCCAGTTGCAGAAACATTTTGGTTGCATTTCTGTTGTGTGGAAATAACTTTTTTTTTTTTGGGAAAAATTTGGACTATGCCATTTTATTAATCAAAAACAGAATACAAATAGAGAGTAATACTGAGGAAGCCGGGAAAACATACATAACAACAAATCAAATAATAAAAAGAGGAAAAAACTAAAATTAAATCACAAAACGAAGCAAAATCAAATTGAATCTGCACTGAACTCATGTAGTCTAAGAGAAAATCAAAAAATACTTCACTATGTACTCTGGTTGCCTGAAGACCTTCCAAGAAGACTGCGGAACTTCCAAATGATTACTTTGAAAAGTATAAAGCAATGTGGAACTTTCAAATGAAAAATAATAATAATAATAATTGTGATAGGACTTTTATCACGAGAATTTAAGTTTGATACCATGGACTCGTTTTAATTTCTTGATTTTTAATCAATTAATTTGGCTCACATACTGTCTTTTAAAAGTAAAAATGCCTAGACAAACCGTTTTGAATCCGTAAAGCTTTCATGTCTGGAATGTGATATGCTTGCAGGGAAATTTTCTTATTGCTAGCATTCATTTCCTTAAGAATTAAAAAGAATTTTGACCATTTTTTTTGCTATATGTTAACTGGTAACAATGTGCTACAACAGGCTGACGTTGACAACAGTGGCACTATTGATTACGGGGAGTTTATTGCTGCAACTATTCATCTCAATAAGCTGGAGCGCGAGGAACATTTGGTGGCGGCATTTTCATACTTCGATAAGGATGGAAGTGGGTACCTCACATTTGATGAGCTTCAACAAGCTTGTAAAGAGCACAACATGACCGATGTGCTAATTGAGGATATTATTAAGGAAGTTGACCAGGATAACGTAAGCATGCCCGTTTCCATTTTATGCCAAGGTTTCACTGATAACCATATAAAATGAGTTTTCCTGCATCTTCCATATTAGAAATCTTATGTTTTAGAACATATTATGTTTGTATTTATATCAATATCTGTTAAATTCAGAGAATTGGAGAGCTATAAGCTTAATTTTATTGTACAAAACTATCTCTATTTATAGATCTATACAATATATCTAAATAAAGAAACAAATAATTACAAAATCATGTATAATTGCTCTAATATAATCCTTCCTAAATCAACCAACTAAATATGAAAGGCGATCGGCATGATCCTGGTGAGCCTCTCATGGATTCCCATCCTTACAGGGATAAAAATGCCAAGGGACGGCTGGGATTTAACAAGTGAGCCTCCTACGGATTCTCATCCTAGCCGGGGATTAAAAGACCATGGGACGGCTAGGTCCACGGATTTCTATGCATTTCCAATATAACTAAATATTTTAACAGTCCTCCAGATATCTTTACTGCGTCATTTGCTTCAAAGTTTCCAATTGTCATTTCTTCTGTAGGATGGCCGGATCGACTATGGTGAATTTGTTGCAATGATGCGGAAGGGAAATGTTGGAAACATTGGGATTGGGAGGAGGACAATGCGGAATAGCCTGAGAATGAGCTCAAGAGAGCGACCAATATCCCACCTCGAACAAGGCAAGTATTTTGTATAGTTCTTCTCTTCTTGTTATTGTATCTGGTTTGAAAAAATGCGAGAAGAAACAACTGAGCTCTTCAACTGATACGTACGCCATGATCAGTACAGAAATGGAGAGGAGATTTGATCCACAATCAATACAAGTCATTTTGCAAAATTAAACTAACTGTTATGTAGAATTAGCACAAACGCCACGTTTTACTGATAGAAAAACTGTGTCGCCTGATGCGGTACTCTGTAATTATTCACAGAAAATGAAAGATGAACAAGGTATGTTGTTGATGAAACTTTAAGTATATTATTTATTTGATAAGAAGGGAAACTTGATGCTCCATGTTCTGTTCATGTTGTCCTGTTGAATAACGTCTGTTTTGCATCATATAACCAAAGGCCAAAGCTGTATGACAGTTTAATAGTTGACAGCACGTTGGTTTCATAGCACATTTTGCCTCTTACTGATTACAGAAAATCTATTATGTATCGTTACAGATAAGATTTGATATAGATATTGAACATGTTAATTGTTCAAAACATAGAACATGGGTAGATATTGAATAAGGATCCGTTTAAAATGGCTGCAATTTTTTAAAAAAGTTGATTGTAAAGCTACTATAGTGAAAGTAATTTTTTTTTATAAAATATATTATAGAAAGCAGCTTTCAAGCATTTTTTTTGTGAATGTAGTAAAAAAAAAGATGACCAAACAAAAATTATAACTGTGGTCTGAAAGCAAAGCAATAAGAAAGATGTCCCAAATAAAGACTACGGCTTCATTTGGGACAGCTTTCTTACTTCTTCCTGAAGAAGTTTTTTAGTGCAAAAATTAAAACTTTTGTACTTAAAAGCTCCTTTAAGAAGTAGTAAGAAAGTTGCCCCAAACGGAGCCTAAGATGTAAATTCATATAATGATAAATTTTACAAAAGAAAAAAAATATTATATTGAAGAGGTAATTTATATAAATAAGTTATTAAAACTATTTAAATATTTTTTTTAATTACAACTTTCTTAGTTTTAGATTCTTTCACAATTTTATCATCTAATAATTATTATTTTATTAGTCTCATGACATAATTTATGAGAGAAGGAATAAAATGGTCCGTCAATTATTCAAAATGGAATTTTTTGTCTTGCCATCAAATGGTAGAGTTGATGGTGTTAAGTATGAAGGTAATTTGATCTTTTTTAATTAAAATATTTAATAAAATGTAATTTTTTAGGGATTATAATTTTTGTACAAAAAAATTTATTAAACTTTGTTTTTAATAAAAAATAATAAATAATTTCAGTTTTAATAATTTTAAAAAATTTAGTTATTCCTATTTTGACATTTACGAAAGTTGTCAAATTATAATTTTATTATATTTATAATTATTAATTTTAATTATTGATACCAAATAATCAATATAAATAACATAATTAAAAAGTTAAATTAATCATCAATTAATTTTAATAATTAATTAATTATTAATTATATTATATTTTAATTAATTTAAATTAAATTAATTTATTGTTAAGCTATATTTCTATTTTTCTTTTTTCTTGACGAATCACTTTTTACTGATTCTCTTACTATTTTATTTTCATATTTTTGGGGATGCCTTGATTCGACATATTTGCTAGGATTGCTTTTCCCCTTCTCTACTATTCATTGCTCTTCGACTTCACCTCCTTCATGTGACGAGTAGAGTTTTGAATGAGTAGCTAAATAACTTTTTTGCCTCCTTCAACGAAGTTCCATCCTATTAGATTACACTTTGTCGTTCTTCTATCCGATCAGAAGTAACGACTACGATGGGAGCTTGCTCATTATGAAGGTAGCCATCTTCCTTCCATTGGTTCGCTTTTTCGGCCAAATTAATTGCGATCGACGAACGATGAGATCAACTATGGGAATGACGCCGCGGGACTGCGGGGTCGATGAGATCACTGCTTTGGGGATGGACTGAGGGGTCGATGCAATCCATGCTACAGTACACAATCAATGATGAGAGACTGCGGGATGGACTATGGGCTTGGCTTCACCTTGAGGATTCGCCAATACACTGCCCTACTGTGGGATGATATCTTAAAACATTATTTGCTTATTCTGATAATACTCTTGCGCCCATCTCACTTTTCTGTTTAAAATTGGCGCCAGGACCAAAAAAGTCTCATTTGGAGGAGTTGGGACCAAAATAGTTGAGGGTCATTTTGAATTTTGATCCCTTACAAAGAGTTGATGGACCATTTTGATCATTTTCTCCATAATTAATATTTTGATATTATAAAGTATTTATGCCAAAATTTAAAATATTATTTATTAATTACATTAATTAATTTATACTCATGTTATTATTTTATTAATTCTTTATTCCTAATTAGAACAATTTAGTAGTACTAGTAAATTTATTTAAACAAATCTAAAACCTTCTTTAATTTTGAACCAATTAGCTCAACTAATATTTAATTAATTGAAAAATTGCCCTAAATAATACCAAATTAGTTGTTATAAGCAGTTACCTAATTTGATATAAACTCGAGTTAATAAAATTATTAATCAATTTATAAATAACTAATGTAATTTATTATTATGACCAATTTATCAATTTCTAATTGAACAAAACTACATCTGCTTAATTAATGGGCATAAGCTTGTCATATTATTATTATTTTTCATGAGAAAAAAAATTATCAAAATTTATATATTATTCAAGTATCTAAGAGTGCTGGATTTGTCTTCCATGATTTTTTTGTGAAAAAATGGAAAGCCAGAGAGACTAATCTGACAGGCTGGCCTATTATTCCGGAAGTGCAGAGGATTACAGAGGCAGAATCTGAGCTTATGAACGCTGAATTTACTAGGGAGGAACTCAGGAAGGCTGTTTTTCAACAAGGTAATAACAAATCCCCTGTATGGATGGTATTACTGCATCATTCTTTAAATTTTACTGGCAAATTGTTGAGGAAGACACTTGGAAGGCGGTTGACAGTTTTTTTAAAACCAGTAACATGTATGCTGAATGGAAAGACACTTTGATAGTTCTTATTCCCAAAATTAGAAATCCTTTAATTCCTGCCAATTATAAGCCTATAAGTTTATGTCAAACAACATATAAGCTTGTGGCAACTATGATCATGAATAGAATAAAATGTTGTATCAGCAGAATTATCACCGAAGAACAGGTAGCCTTCATTCCGGGTAGATCATTGTCAGATCATTGCCTTCTTGCACATGAGATTTTTAACAAATTCAGAATTTCCAAGAATAAAAAGGGAATGATGGCGGTGAAGCTTGATATGGAGCAAGCTTACGATAGCTTGAGTTGGGATTCATTGAAACAAGTTCTAAATATGTTTGGCTTCCCTAGTAAGATCTCGTCTCTTATTATGGAATGTGTTAGTGGTGTTAAATTTTCTTTCCTTCTCAAAGGAAAGAAAAATTTATCATTAGCTGGGAAAATTTTGCTGGCTAAAACATCTCTATTAGCAGTTCCAAATTTCTTATCAGCACACATGATGGTCCCTAAAAAGGTTTTGTATGAAGTTGATAAATGTTGTAGGGAGTTTATATGGCACAAAAATAATGGTAATAAGGGTCTTCATTATGTCTCTTGGTTGGATCTCCGTAAACCAAGGGCTGTTGGCGGATTAAATTTTCATTCAGCAAGCATAAGATCTGGGCCTCTTAAGGCAAGATTGGCATGACGTTTTTTGAATAACTCGGGGTCTCCTCTGCATAATATTATGATGAATAGATACGACAATACTATTTTTGATATGGGTATCAAACAAGGTGCATCCATTGCCTGGAAAGTTCTAAAAGAAGGAGGGAAATTTTTGAAGCCTTTGTTAAACTGGAGAGTGGTTAATGGGAGGAAGATCAATGTTCTAAAGGATGTATGGATACTTAATAGAAGTTTGGGAGTGTGGCCTACATTTGTTGACAGCACAAGATTGGAGGAGACTATGCTTGATCAATTCATATCCCAGGATGGTTGCTGGAAAATTGAAAATCTGCATGAGGTATTTAATGAAGATCTCATCTCAATTATTGTGCAAATCCCAATTAATAAAAATGCATATGCAGATTATATGGAAGCGATCAATCAGTTTTCAGGGAAAACTATTACTGCATTATCCTATGAGTATTATATGAATGAACATAGGGGAGATGGGGACCCTGGTTTTTCTATGTGGCTTAAAAAAGCTAAACTTCAACCACGTGTTGAGTTATTTTGGTGGAGATTAAGCAAGTTTGCAATACCTACTAATGAATTTCTCCATTACAGGAAGCTTTCTAATCATGTTATGTGTGCACGGGGTTGCCAACAAGTGGAGAACATAGAGCATATCACGGTCCATTGCAAGTACCTCAAGGAGATTTTATTGAAGCTTCAAAACTGGGGCTTTTTATCCCAGTTTTTTCTTCTTTAGATGAATACTTATTGGAACTAAGAAAGCAATCGTATATATGCTCTAGCATTATTAGCGTGTATTGCTGTGCGATTTATGAATGCTGGAAGGAAAGAAACAGGAAAGTTCATGGCAAGCAAACTCTTGGCAGCTCCATGATTGCAGCGAATATATTATCTATTGCTATGACAAAAGCTAATCCAATGCTAGATAGCTGGGGTACCAATCTCCCTAGGGAGTCTCAATTGAAATGGCACCCTCCACCTCTAGATTGGATTAAGATCAATATAGATGCATCTTTATTGGAAACTAACAATGCAGGAATTGGTGGTGTCTGTCGAGACTTTAAGGGCAGGCTTTTGCTTATGTTCGGGGAGAAAAGAGTTCACTGGGATGTGGCACAACTTGAAATGGAAGCTATCTTGATGATCCTAAAATACATTCAAAATTGGATGTTAGAGAGTAAAGGTATTATAATCGAAGGTGACAATTACAACATTATAAAATACATTCAAAATTCTTTGAATAAAGATGTTTGGACCGCTAATAATCGGGAGGAATTGGATTTCTTCTTCCTAAACGACTTCAACCAGGTTATATTTCATCATGTTCATAGAAATTGTAACAAGGTAGATGATTTTTGTACTACTTTGGCTATTGAGAATGATTTTTTTTTTTTTTTGATAATTCGTCTTTTGATTGCATTCCTTCTTCCTTATCTAGTTTACTGAAGAAGGAAAGTGATCCTTATTTGTAGTTTGTAACTAGTTCTTTTTACTAATGCATTTTGCAATTTTCAAAAAAAAAAAAGTACAGTTATGCTAATTTATCTTGTAGTTAACAAAAGAGAACACTTTACTTTTAATAAAATAATTAAAATTTACTAATGTATAAATACTAATGATCAAACTCATTTTAGACATTAAAATTCAAATACTATATATTCTTACAAAAATCACGAAATCTGGAGATTGAACTGCAAATTAATAACACTAAGGGCATCTCCAACCTAACTCCAAACGCTTGAATGGTGTCCCTGGCCAGCTCTAGTCGAACCGCAAAAATTTTTGCTATTTGGCTGCGGGTGAACAGTGGGACGTCAATATTTGTGTTGCACTGTTCATTTCCGTCATTTTTACCTCTCTACCGAACTTGCCCCGGGAAAAAAGAGACAACCGTTACCTGCAAAAGAGTGAAAAGTGGAGTTCGATTGGAGATGAATCGCGGCATTTTGAAGTTTCACGGTATTTTGGAGTGAAAAATGAAAATTTCGGTTGGAGATGGTCTTAGGGACCAACTGGCCTGGACGATCTCGCGAGGTAAATTTGAAGATTTTGATGGATTCAAATTTATGTGGGTAACCTCGTACCCTACAAGGAGATTGTTGGGATGGATAGAGCAAGAAAATCAGGTGAGTGAGTGAGGTTGATGAGTATGGATAGTGAGTAAAAAACTATATTATCTCTGTAAATATTTCCGACAACATATGAGAAAAAGATTAGAAGAGTAAGACTTCATTTGGGATGATTTTCTTTCTGCTTCTTAAAACTGTTTTCTATTACAAAATAAAAAATTTTGTACTAGAAAACTACTTTAAGAAGTATAAAGAAAACCGTCCCAAACGAAGCCTAAAAGATCCAAAATATACCTCTTTATCCTTTAGCTACACCAAAAGTAACACATAAAAGAAAATATAAAAAACAGTATATTATGTGACTATTATAAATTGAAACTAATATATGGACTCTTTGGATAACGTACGATGGATCATGTTCCTAATGTGACCCCCTCTTCTAAAGTTAGTGCCTTTGGTGAGACTTCAAGGGCGAGTATGTGCTAGGGAGTTCCTAGGAAGGAACATGAAGTCCCTGAGAGTGAGGGACTATGTTGCACCGATACGGATACGGCGACACGGATACGACACGATGCGGATACGGGACACATCAATTCTTAAAAATACAATATACGTGTACGGCACGGACACGGCATCATAATTTATAAATCATACATAAAAATTAAGAAAGCAATCAAAGCATAATATTTGAAATTACAAAAAAAAAAAATGACAACAACATTTGTAGCCTTGTAGCTTATAATATCAAAATATAAGTAAGCATTAAATGTCTAGTACAACAACGAAAGCATAAACATAAATTTTTCTTGCACATAAAGTTTCAACTATTCAATTGAAGGAATGATATGATTAGCTTCTTCAGTGGTTTGTCTTTGAACTTCTATATCATCTTCAATAAATATCATAGCTTTTAATTCAGGCTCATCAAGTGAAAGATTAGTAATTTCTAAAATTCTCATATCATGAAGAGACTCAAATCCATCTCGGAAATGAAAGAACTTTGCTCGCAGCCGCGGAAGTAAATACGACGCATCTCGGAAATGAAACACACGTTGCAATCTCGGAGAGGGAGAGTGACTGTTTGGCCATGAGCTAGAGCTAGTTGCCACCTCGCGACCTCACGTTTCTTTCAGGCGAGTGTCGCTTTGGACACATGACTCGCCTAATTGATTTTCTAGATGGGATCCTATTAGGTACCTATATTGACATATATGAGTAGACATTTAGTTCCTTGATTTACTTACTCATTTTAAAAAGCAATTTCTGAAAATGATAAATAAATTTAAGATGATGAGCATTTATTAGTTTGGGCTAATTTTAAAAAGGAGCGTGTTTAAAATTTAATTAAGTAAAAGAAATTTGATTATTAAAAAATTTAAAAAGAAGCAAATTCGTCAAATTATTTGGTGCAATCCTAAATACGCTAAATCAGTTCAGAATGTGCTAAATCATTTGACGTATCAGTTGAAATAGGAGAGAAAAATGCCTTTGAGAGAGGGACAAGGAGAGAGAGACGGGAAGAAAGATTGATGAGGAGGGAGAAAGAGAAATGAGAGGAATGTGCCGAATCATTTTGTGTTTTTAGTTGAAATAGGAGAGAGAAATGCTTTGGAGAGAGCAAGGGAATTGAGAGAGAAAATTTTGATGTATAAATAATTATATTATATTTAAACCAAAAATCTAATATAAATTTTATATTTAAACATAAGGTAGCATAATTATATTTAAATAATAAAATTTATGTAAAATTATTAAATATCTAAAATATTTATGTAATATTATAAATATCTAAAAAATTATTTTATATTTTTTAGTTTTATAAAATAAACTTATAAATAAACTTTATAAGTTTTATTTAATCTCTCTCTGCGTGATATCTCTCCAGCTCTCTCTCCCCTCCGGTCGTCTCTCTTTGCACAATGTAATGCGCCAAATTATTTGACATATTTTCACTGCGCTAAATAATTTGGCGCATTTTGAAATACGCCGTTTAATTTAGCGTATCTACTCCTATTTAATTTTTTATTAATTAATCCTCCTACTAATTTTAATGATTATCATGCTTCTTTATAAAATTTCGCCTATTAGTTTTATGGAATAGAATAAAGAAAGTGTAAGTAAGAGTTAATTCCCTATCACTATTATTACCTCAATTTGAAGATTCTTTACTATAATTCTGATTTAACTTTGTGTATTATCTTCAATTATAAATAGAGAGTATGTCCTACTAGTTCGCTTAAGATGGTTAATCTGAGCCCTTCCAGGCTTTTTGATTGATAATTTAGAGAGAGAGAGAGAGAGAGAGAGAGAGAGAGAGTTCAAATTTATTTTTGGAACATTTAGATAAGGCAAACATATACACAAATCATGTACATAAGCTTCGAACTCAAGACTTTTTGATTGATAATCAAAACTCCCGATCAACAAATCAAAATAAGCTACGTGCAGTAAAAAAATGTCAGATCTTTTAACCTGAAGACATTTTCATACATATCATTTTATATCATACTATTCACATATCTAACACATTTTTAATATTTCATGTCTATCACAGCTTCTTATTACATGAGACTATTCATAATTTTTGCCTAGTATGAGAAGTGCTCATGCTCTGATATTGAAAGTGCATAATTTCTCACATTAAGGCATTTCTAACTGTCCATCTTATTACATCAACATCAGCTGGTACCATAAAAACAATAGCATCTCCACATTAAAACATTACAGATGAAACAGCAAAAAGGAAATATCCATCATCACAGTACTAAACCTTATAAAGAACAAATTTCACAGCATAAAACGAATAGAAAGCCTCTGATAACGATGGCTCCATTCCTTTCTCTTAACTATACTTCATCCTCCTCTTCCCTTATCTTATAATCACCATCACCATTATTAACATACTAGCTTTCCACATTCCCTCTCATCAATTTGCAGCAGCAGATAATTGCTTCGCCTGCTGCTTCTGCTTTGCACCAACTGCGAAGAACTCTGTGATAACCTCAAGGGGCATTCCCTTGGTCTCAGGAACCTTAAGGAAGACGAAGATGAAGGAGATAACACAGACAACTGTGTAAATCCCGAAGACGCCGGCGAGGCCGATGCTGTTGAGCATCACAGGTAGGGAGTATGTGACTATGATGTCGCCGATCCAGAAGACGAGGGCGCAGATGGCGATGCAGACTCCGCGGACCCTGGTGGGGAAAATCTCTGCGCAAAGAATGTTGGGGACTGGGCCAAAACCCATGACAAAGCAGCAGAAATAGGCAATGACGCTAATTGTTGAGAGCACAGCATGAAGCACCATCCCAAGTTTGATCAGATTGGCTATGATCAGTACAAGGAGCGCACAAATCAGGATTGGGATGGTGGACAGGAGTAGAAACCTGCATGAGAAGGTAAACAAGGATTGTTAGTTTGTTGGTAATACCTCAATAGTGAGTTTTAGGCTTCGTTTGGGACGTCTTTCTTTCTGTTTTTTAAAGAAACTTTCTAGTATAAAAATTTTAAGTTTGTACTAGAAAGCTGCTTTCAGAAGCAGAAAGAAAGTTGTACCAAAAAAAGCCTTAAGACTTTTTTAACTCTATTTATTTTAGAGTAACTCAATTATTAAGAACTCAATTCTCATTTTGAGTTATTGTGAATTTCATTTTACCCACCCTTTCATTAACTTTATAAAATGTTACAGCTATAATTATTAGCAAAAGTATTATTCTAATTTACTTATATTATTTTATTATTAATATTTAATAATTGAATATCACTTATCACCTTTAAGAAAGTGAATTCCAAAAATAGGAACTCACTTTCTATCAAACAAACGTTTCAATCACTTTTAGCTCAAAAAAATAAAGCCCAAAAAGAATAAAAAATCACCAAAAAAATGACACAACAGAAGACTAATATATGCTGAATTCTACGGCATGCGCCCCTTTTTACCAATATATTTGACTATGAACATATATTCAAGACATTTAGGTAACAACAACAACAACAACATCAAGCCTTTATCCCATTGCATGGGGTGGCTACATGAATTCTTTTTCACCAATGTGTCCTATTAAAAGCCAAATTCTCATTTAAATCTAATAAAGAAAGATCATTTCTAATATTTTCTAACCAAGTCTTTTTAGGTCTACCTCTACCTTTCTTAACAAAAATTAAATCTAATACCTCAACATTCCTATCAGGGTCATCGGAAGGCCTCCGTTTAATGTGACCAAACCATCTAAGACGACTCTCATTAATCTTAATCTTCCACTGATGCTACTCCAACCTTTTCACATATATGCACGTTTTGTATACTATCTCTAAGGATAAAGCTACTAATCCACATAAGTATCCTCATCTCTGCAACATTTAACTTAGTATTATGCTTCTCTTTTAATGGCATACATTCGGCACTATAAAGCATTGCAGGTCTCACCAGTTAAGAAAAAAAAAATACAAGAAAGGATTGCGCAGTGCAGTGCAGTTAGGCAAGGTTTGAGGTTGCAAATAAATAATGCAAAATTAAAAAAAGAGGGTCAAATACGAATGATAATAAACCTTCTCCCAGAGATATCCATTAATCTCATAGCAACACCGATAGCAGGAAGCATCAACAGGGTAGTAAGAGAACTGATGAGGATAGACGATGAATCAGAGCCAAGTCCAAAGTTTTTGAGGAGCACTGCTACACCTGCTTGTTCAAGAATCTGAGGGGTGTAATATAGAACACCGTTTATACCTGAGAACTGCAGGAGGAAAACAAATATCAGCATAGAACGATGAAATATAGCACAATTGTCTGTGAAAGAACATAACAAAATGCAACTCATTCTACCATCACACTTCAACATCAAATTCTATGACAATTCCAGTATTCATTAAACACGTTTCAAGGCCTAGTAGCCAAAAGCTTACGATAAGAAAATTTTAAGCAGTAGAGCTCCATTAGCATACATGAGTTTAAACAATGCTACAAACAAACTTTTCACAAAGTTATTTAGGCTTCGTTTGGGACGGCTTTTTCTCTGCATCTTAAAATAGTTTTTTAGTGCAGTAAAAAAGCCGTCCCAAACGAAGCCTTAATGTCCTCGGCTTCCGGGAAATTCAGCGAGCAGTACCAGTCAATCAGCCCTGAATAACATGAATTTATTTGATCGAATTCTTTAATGCCTACAACCTAATCAACAAGATGAAAGCACAAATAATCCTCCTATCTTATAAAAAGGGTAGGTTGGCTATGTATGCCACTCACATCTTTTAATTGATGAGTGTTGTATGATTATCAAGACATATGGCCGACATAATTTATGGATGGTATAGGGTTGGTTTGCTTGGCTAACCCTTTAAATAAATAAATAAATAAATAATAATAATAATCTTCCTATCTTATAAGTTTAACTACAAAACTAGGCTTCTTCTGAGCGACATTGTTAGCCCTTGCCAAACGTCGGTGAACCCCAAAAAAAGAAAAGCACAAAAATAGTGAGATAGAATGAATGATTTGGATTTTTTGTGTTTTACTGAGACCATTACACCCCTATTTATACAATGGGATTTTAGATTCCTCCAGGTAATTTCTACATATGAAAGCTATTAACTACATAGTGATTAAATGATAAAATATACAAGCATAAGCCGCGCTTCTATATCTACGAATATGAAAATAAAAGAAGATATTTTACAGCTAGCAAGCATTTATTCCTCTTAAATCCAGTCAAGGGATTTCTGCCATTTGCAAGCCCACGGATGGCAACCTTGTCCATGAAGATGGACTGTTAGCATGTAATCACACAACTTACCCTGGAAGAGTTTCCAATGTTGCCTATAGATGTGTTTCTTTAAAATTAGGCTTGAACTAACTTAGAACATTTTGAACATAGGATATGTTTGATCTTGTATGGGCAAGGTAGATAAGTTTCCCTACCAATCCCCTTGGTCAAATTCTAGGTTGTCACCTGCCTCTCCAAATTTATGGTAGTAATCAATTGAAACTTTTTGAGTATTTACATTCCATCATACAGTGATCTAGAATGTATTGTTGTTGGGAAATAAATATCCCGCCTTTGAGTGAGTTGCTTCAATTCTATTGAAGTATTTGAGTCTTAATAAATCTTTTACTTAAAAATTCTTTAGATAGTTTATCATTTACTTATTTTTGTCAAATCAACTCTTGTTATAAGTTAACCCTTAAAATTTCTTTATGAATAGAGTATGATCTCCAAAACTTTGTTTAAAGTTCATCCTTTACATGACTTTAATAAACCTCCGAAACCGTACTCCTTTGGATTGTTTGAGCTCATATCAAGCTTTTCTCAAGTTACATATATGGTTGGTACTTTTTTTTTTTTTATGGTTGGTACTTAAATCTTGATTAAAATCAGGTGGGTGTTCCATATATGCTTCTTCTAGTTTGCCATGTAGGAATGCATATTTTACTTTATTATTATTCACATTTGTTTTCTTAACTCAACTTGTGTATGTCTATTCAAAAAAATTACACTTGCATTTTATGCAAAAAAGGCAATAATTGCACCTATATTGTTTGTTGAAAATATTTATAGATGTGGAATTGTACTTCCTTGATTATATCTATATTTAGTGATCTCGAAGGATGCAATAACATAAATGAAAACCTACAATTATGATAAGATTGGATAATTCTTTCAAATTATATATACAATTGTTTAAAAATAAGGATTTTTCAGTTGGATGTTCCTAATAATGAATTGTGATTGTAATATAAAAGTTAGAAACATAGAATCAATATAGCAATAATAAAACTAATCTAACCAGCCTTGTAACTTTGATCCAACTATTCTAGTGACTAAACTCGCAATCAGCTTATAGGTTGTTTTTCCTCCTTGACGACTCCTTTCTTTTATTTATATACAAAATTATATTTCATGATTTGCACATACTCCTTTTATTAAAAACCTACACTTTTCAGGGTCTACTAATTTTGTCATATAATTTTTAATTTTCAAATGGCTAAATTCTTATTCATATACTTTAACTATATCTTGAGATTGATTGAACATAGATTTAAGATAAATAAAAATTATTTCTTAAAAATTTAAGGTTGTGATATATAATTTGCAAGCTGATAATTGGGGTCGGCTACATGAAACCTTTTTCGCCATTGTGTCTGGTTAAAAGTCAAAATCTCATTTAAATCTAATAAAGAAATATCATTTCTAATATTTTCTAACCAAGTCTTTTTAGGTCTACCTCTACCTTTCTTAACATAAGTCAAATAAAAAAAAAGAAGGAAGCCGTTGATACTGACGATATTTCACCTTTCAAGGCATGTAAACATTTATAAGGCCATTTTACCGAAGTAGGAAAAAATGTAACAGCATAAAAAGCCAACTTATGACTCAAAATACAGCAATCTAAAAAATGAAGAAAAAGGATGAGGAAGGGAAACTGTCCTTAAAAGATTTTTTTTAAATATCAAAAGTGTTAGAAAAATTAACAAAAGAAATCAAAGGCACAAAAAAAAGAATAAAATAACACACCTGCTGTAGAATTTGGATCCCAACACCTACAATCAGTGCTTGCTTGACACCAGGTTCAAGAAGATCAGTCAATATAGATCCCTTCGCAACTGTTTCCGATGGATGAACCATTGCTGGCCCAACAGGATGCTGCTCTATCAGCTCCTTAGAATACAAAGCAGGTTGGCTCACCAAAGCCGCAGCCTGAATAAATTCAGAATCTTCTGGAACTTCTTGGCCTGGCAGTGAAAGAAGAGAACCCCTCCTTGAACCAGGCACCCCCTCTTGGTGCAGATAGATTCTCTTAAAACCTCCTTCCTTCTTTCCATCTTCTCCATCACGCTCTGACCATTTCCAAGCCAGTTGCCAGCCACCACCAATGCCCATGCTACTCACAGCCTCACCCCCACCTTGCATAAGACTACTATTCCTCCTCATGCTCAATACACTTCCATGAGCTGCATGTGGAGGTGCAATGTCCTTCCCTTCCATGCTTGTCGTCTGGCGAGAGATGAGTGGACTATGTAAATTGTCATCAGAATCTCCTCCTGCTGCATCAGATGCATAGTCATCACCCTCTCTTTGGCCAGTCTCCTCATCCCAGTGCTCAATTTTAGGCCCAGTAACACTGAACATACTACCAAAGTTGGGAAATAGAGTGCTTCTCATGCTTCCCATCTCAGGAACAGGCAGCTTTTCATGGACACTACCAAAGAGAGTAACCAGAGGATCCACGAGAGAAATGCTGCTCTGATTCTCCAAGCTGCTACCATGGCGAGAAACAACGCCAAGGATGCTTCCAAGGACACTTTGACCCTTTACAGGACGGGCGACCCATGAGAGACCCTCTTCAGGACCATAGAGTGTAACTTGCTCCTTATCAGCAATATATTCCTGGTCATCAATGATTTCATTAGCAGGACCAATGATGTACTCCTCAATCGATGTATCCACCCCAACACCTAGGCCTTCCACAAGAAGAGCCATCTCTCCTGCACAACAAAAGAAAAAACAAGAAACAACACTGAGGGTTCCGGATTATTCTATTGAATTTATTTAGTGACCAACAATAGCAGACAAAAGAATAAAAGTAATCTAGTATAAAAAAATCCAATGTCTAATATAGATTTGTTACTCGAATCACCAAACAAAATGACAAGTGTATTTTTTTTATTTAAGTGGCAAGGACAACACATACAAGCTTTTAAATTATCAATCCATAATGAAACCACAGTGGTCATCCCGAATGGATGAGAAAGACAAAGGGATGATACTAGATTAACAACTAATCACAAGATGAATCCTAAAATTATTGAAATGGGGCATCACTAATAAGTGATACATAACAACTCAGCCCAATTATGATTAGAAATAAAAAATAGTTGGCTAATCCCCAGAGAAAAAGTAACTATTGAAGTGGGATATCACTAATAAGTGATACACAACAACAACTCATCTCAAGATGTATCCCAAAATAAAAGTAAAGCATTAGTTCTAGATGAGATACCTACTAAGATTTTAAAATAAATGAGTTAAATAAATCTAATTTTGAATTTCCAAAAGAATATGAAAACATTAGGAAAAAGCAATTTGATATCAACTGCTAAGAACAAAAGATATGCCCATTATTATGGCTTTTATCAGGATCAAACTTATGAGATATATAATGAAGTATATATAACATTATCAAATATAAACCTAAAAGGAACCTTCTAAATTTAAGCACTTGTAGTGCTCTTGGTGTGATCTATTTCTTCCCCGCTTTTTTGGAGCATTGTAAAAACAGCGCTGAGCAACATGGAGTGTTAAAGACAAAACTAATTTACTTTCTAGAGATCTCTCTTATACAACATTTTGGCCCATCTGAGGATTATATTAAATATGGAGAATAACGATTTCTAATAGGTGGAAGCTTGAATTAATTACATCACAAGTGTGTACTCAAGAATACTCTTGTTTAATGACATCAATACATTCTAGATTAGTAGCTAGAAGGCAGGCTTAATACATGGGAAAAGGATTGGGGTGGAAGATCAACCCATTCAAAATCTCAATATTTCGTCATCCAAGACCAACTTGGTGGACCTAGACAACCAACAATGGACGACCAGAAGGCCATGTTATCCAGGGAATTTGCTTAGAATCCATAGGTTTCTACAATAGACCGGGGTTTTAATTGATGTGTGATAGTGTGAGTGAACTTACATCTTTGCATGCAATTGAAATGAACCTAGGTCTGAAGTCTATACAACCCAAGGATTTTCGGAATTGATGATTCATTTGTGAAGGGATCTTATAAGTATTAATGGCTTTGTGGCACCTTTAAGAAGACTTATGTCTCATATAGTGAACAACAGTGAGAGTTTGAGGATTGTGAGTTGGATGATTTTAGGCTACATTGACAACTTTGTCTCAATTTGGTAGAGTTGTTTCGAGAAATTTGACATTTGTGAATTTGGACAGTTTCAGACAAATTTAAGGACTTACGTTGCTAATTTGATAAAGACAATCCAAGAGATTTGGAATTTGTCCAATCTTTGCTTAAACTTAAGATTGGATTTGTGAAACTTAATGCAAACTTGTTTGTGTCTAGAAAATGTGATTTAGTGAGTGCTTTGTAGACTCAAGCATGAGATTAGGGCTTATAAACTCATATCAAGGAAGACTAAATGGTGGGTCCTACAACATTTCCCTATAGGCAAGTAGAACATTGATTTATTTTGATTTGAATTGGCTTCTTAAAATTTAGGAATTGGGATTTATTGCCTTTGTGGAAAGCCAAATGATTCGATCAATTTGAATTAATAATTATGTCTTAACATGTGATTAGGTTTGCGCATGTGCGAGAAACCAAGTACACACCAGTTAAGTAGCTGAGTATGCATGGACAAGTAAGCTTAATGCACATGGGAGAGTAACCAAATGTTATTAGAGGTTGATTTGGCAATTTAGGATAGGTGAGAAACTAATTTGGTACACTCGAGTGACTGAGTTTTTATGTTTGAGTTGTGGAGTTTTCTAGTTGAGTACTTGAGTGAAATGGGCAAGTGCACTAATGAATAGCCTAGTGCATGTGCGAGCACACTATAAAATAACCAAGTACACAAGCAAGTGCACTATAGTGCATCAAAGTAACTACACTAGAGAAGATAGTACCATACTCTAGTTGGTCGGACAAACATTCACTCTGGGAGGTGGATATGGATTCTTTATTATGATTTTTATCAAGTTCCAATTAGCCAACACATATCCGCCAACCATCATCCTCCTTGAATAGAATCAAAATTGGTGAACAATAAGCCGAGCAAGTCAACTTTATGACTCCTTGATCAAGTAGCTCCGCAACGTGCTTCTTTACTCTTTATTCTCCAACTCCAAGTTTCTCTACGGGCTTTCGAAAAAGTTTAATATGAAAGAAATTTGAATTCATGCTCCACTGCTCTTCATGAAGGCAACACTCTCGAAAAAACAGTTGGTAATCATCTATCAACTATTGTAATCTCAACTCTTAATTTCAAAGCACCAATATCCATAATTCTCCTAATTCTTCATCTCAGCACTTACAAGATTCTTATAGACCATGGTATAATGAATGCTAACACGAGTTGATAATCCATTTCACCAAACTAGAAGCTATCATGTTTATATGTTGACAACCCTTGTACTTATTAAAAGTGTATCTCACATCATCCTTGCAAAGGTGATATTGCTATGCCCTCCATTAGAAGATAGCATCTCAATCTCCATAAGAAAATCTGGTGAATGTTGAGAAACAAAGCTTCACTCAACACTACATCAATGCACCCTTGAGTGATGATGAAGTGGATGCGACATTATTGATTAATCCACAACTCTTTTTGAATCCAACTGAGTGCTTATAAAAGGAGACTTCTTGACGCCTAATCTTCTAACAAAATTCACCAAGATCAAATTTTTTTACTCCTCATAGTCTAAGATGGCAATGACAACCTTCTGTTTCACTTGGATTCACAAGGTGAACACTTCAACGCGTTCATTAGAATCAGGTTTCATGCTTGGTTCCTTCCCCTTCGCATTGCCATATTAAAAAAAAAAAAAAAACACAACATGATTTATCGACTTCAACATTTAGCCCTCTACAGTGATAGCCACCTTCTTTCCTTTGCCATCCTTCTTGAGCTTCTCTAAGAAGATTTTCAAATGAAGCTTCCAAATCTTGCTTCTAACATTACTTGTGATTTCACAGTGATCACAGTAAAGGTTATTTCTTGCAGAAAAAGAAGAGATCGTTGGGTTTACTTTGTTAGACTCTAATAGTTCTATTTCCAGGAATCTCCAAGCCAAAACCTACTATTCTTCTCAAGAAATCTACTACTAGAAGCCTCACCACTGACCATTTTCCTACTAACAACCCACCACTGTTGAGTAGTGACCGATCGTTCTCAACCAGACGAACTCTCTCCACCAGCTCAAAGAAATCAAAAATGTAAAAGGGGATTAATGGATGGCTCAAACTGTCTCAGAGCTCTCTCAGAAACCTGTAGCACTTCTCCTCAAGAATGCTAACTAACTACGGAGCATACCTGATCAAGGCAGTAAACTCAGCCTCATACCGCATAACTAACCTAACCCCCTAACCAGTCTCAAAAATATCTCATATATTTAATGTTGTGCAGAAGGAGGCACAAATCATGCCCGAAAGACATCTGTAAACTCATCCCAACTAATTAGAGTGTTTAGCCTCCATTGGAACTTCTCCCTTTGCTAGTTCAACCACCAGCAATCAACCTTACCATCCAATAGAAACACGACTAACATTAGCTTCCGCTTAGAAGGACACTGCATTCCATCAAAGGTATTCTCTAACCTCATAAGCTAGTCCTCTGTTGCTCTGGGCTCAACAGCGCTCTCAAACCTCGAAGGCTTTAACCTTAAACATCTATAAGTGTTTGTCTACATCATCAATTTAATAGAAGAAATCCTGCTATAAGACCCGTCCATCAAATAGGCTACAAGACTAGCAAACTAAGAAATGGAATCATAACTGATTGAAGGAGTAGTACTTTACACTAGTGTTGCCTGATTAACACTCTGCCAATCTATCATATCCAGGTCTTTTAAATTCAGGTCTTTTAGATCAATCAACTGATCACACCAGTAGCAAACAACTGAACATACACGCACATGAAGGCAATCTAAACATTACTAGTCCACCTAAGCTAAAACTCCTTTTATGTTCTCTATACTTCCCTGCCACAAGTAACATCAAACAAACTTGCATAAAACTAAATTGACTCTATACTATTAGTATGATTGCGCTCAATCTTTACCCCATTATCATCCCCTAACCTAAATATAGTAAGTTATAGGCTTAATTACTATATAATTGCCACTTTTATACAACCCATATATTCTTAAATAGTGGTGCTAAAATATTTCTTCATCAATGAAGATTGTGAATATACGATTGACTTTAGTGACCTTAGCATCTTAAATGAAAATAAAGATTTTTGTTTTTATCAGCGTTCAAAGTTAGAGAGGCTTTAAAGAAAATGAAGTGTGGAAAAACTATTGGACATGATGATATTCCAATAGAGGTGTGAAAATGCTTAGGAGATGAATGAATTTCTTGGCTTACTAAATTTTTTAATATTATTTTGAAGAATAAAAAGATGTCAGGTGAGTGGAGAATGAGTGTGTTGATTTCTATTTTTAAGAATAAAGGTGATTCATAAGATTGTGCGAATTATAGAAGAATTAAGTTAATGTGTCATACTTTAAAACTATGGGAAAGTGTTATGGAGCATAGGTTATGGTGTGATACTAATATTTTTCAAAATTAATTTGGATTCATGCAAAGTAGCTCTACTATGAAATCTAATACTTAATGAGAGATATCATGATTGAATGATCTCATTATATTTATACAATTCCATTATATGTTCTCTGAAATCTATAAAACCCTTTGGGGGTTCGGTTTATATATATATTTTTTTTAATCCTCTAATTTTATTCAAGTAATTGGTAATTATCATTCATAGAATAAATATACTAATATACTATTTCACTTTGAAATTATAAATTGAAGCTATTATTACTATTCTAAATAGTAAAGCAAGCTATATATTTATTGAGAGGTTTGATGCAAAAGTATAGATAGAATAAGGAGAATCTACCTATGATATTTATTGATTTAGAGAAAGCATATGATAAAGTTTTAAGAGAAGTGCTATGGAGAGTTCTAGAAAAGAAAGGGGTTAATAATATTTATATTCAAGTCATTAAGGATATGTATGTTGGAGCTGTTATTTTGTTCAAACACAAGGGGATTTGACCAAGTATTTTCCAATTTCTATTGGATTACATCAAGGATCAGCCTTAAGCCCATATCCTTTTGCTTTAGTCATGGATGTTATCACTAGACATTTGCAAGAGGTTGTACCCTGGTGTATGCTTTTTGTTGATGATATTCTTCTCGTTGATAAGACTGCAGAGGAAGTTGAAGGTAAACTTGAATTAAAAGTAAAAATCTTAGAGTCTAAAGGTTTTTGTTTAAGTAGATCTAAAATCGAATATATGGAGTAAAATTTTAGTAGTAATAGATCTAGTTGGCTGAGACTTTGGGCGATCAAGTCATTAATAAGAGTAGACGTTTTAGATATCTTGGATTTATTATTCAAAGTGATGGTGAAATAGATAGGGATATTATTATTAGAATTCAAGTTGGATAGTTAAATGGAGGAATGCTTCGGGCTTGTTGTGTGATAACCTCATACTTAAGGAAAAACTCTATAAGATGGCGGTGAGACCTGCAATGCTTATGGTGAAGAATGTTGGTCATTAAAAGAGAAGCATGATATTAAGTTAAGTGTTGCAAAGATGAAGATGCTCAAGTGGATGAGTGGCTTTACTCTTAGAGACAAGATATGAAATGATCATATTCATGAAAAGGCTAGAGTAGCTCCAATGGAAGATAAGATTAGAAAGAGTTGTCTTAGATGGTTTAATCACATAAAATGGCAGCCTTCCGATGATCCGGAAAATATAGTATATGTATTAGATTTGACTTACGTTAAGAAAGGTAGAGTTAGACCTAAAAAGACTTGGATAGAAATATTAGAAATTACAATTCTTTATCAGATTTAAATGAGAATTTGACTCTTAATAGAACACTATAGAGAAAAAGGATTCATGTAGCCAACCCCACATAGTATGATAAAGGTATGATCATGTTATTGTTGTTGTAATAAATTAAAATAGGCTTAATCATTGAGATTTAATCAAAATGCATATTAATTCAGGCAAAATACAATCCCCAACATCCTACACTTCATAACGAACAACACAAGTTTCAGGAAAAAAAAAAGTATAACATATTCCATACTTTCAGCCACACATAACAAACAAAATCAGAGGTCATACATAAACATTTTACTTTTATGGAGAAAATTATCTAAATTGGGTAACCACGACTCGAGAAAGGAGAACACTGATGATCATTGGGCGTAGAAAGTGACCCATTTCAGCAAATGCTTTAAATTCATTTCTTTTCTTTCTTTTATGGGATTTCTAACTTTACAAAAGTAGAAATCCCGATGTAAAGGAACGCTCATAATATTTATCTTCAATACAAAACAAGGTTTATCAAAATCGATTAAGTGCGGAGAAATTTTAAAGTAGGATCCTTAGGAATAATTTGTCCAAAAAATCTCCTTAACATGCTCAAATATGAAATTAACCAATTTTTATGAAGTTTTGCCCTCTACAGATGGGTTAGCAAAAAGATTAACATACAACCAGAAAGGAAACAGGCTGACTGACCTCTTGATCACCAATTCGTGAAAAGCAAATATAAAATCATTTAACTCAAAAAATCAAAAATTCAATAGAGTGCCTAGAACAAAACAGAGAAGTTATATGCTATGTCTACAGAAACCTGAGACATCTTCCCTTCTACGAAGCTGTTGCAGAACCTTTTTAGCCTCTAACATTCTCCCTTTGCTAACAAGCCACCTAGGCGACTCGGGCAGGAAGAATATTGTTAATGCCAAATATACTAGGGAAGGAATGGAGAGAACTCCAAGCATCACTCTCCAGTTAGGATTCGCCATAAGAGACATCGCAAACACGAGACAGTAAGACAAAAACATTCCTCCTGAGCCACAAAACTGTGGAAGTGTATTTAACTGCCCTCTGATCTCAGGTGGGGAAGTCTCAGAAATATACACAGGAATAAGCGTAACAGCCAAGCCAACTCCAAACCCATCAATGAGCCTCGCAAGGAGTAAGATGTAAACATTTGGAGACCATAGCATCACCAAGCCACTAATAAAATATAGTAATGATGACAAGATAAGCATAGGGCGCCTGCCACACCAATCTGAAACAGGTCCTGAGAATGTAGTTATAATCGTAGCGCCAATAAGTGACATGGCTACAATTAAACCTTCGATAGTAGGCTCTGTTTGTAATTCAAACTCCCTTTTAATGTAGATAACAGCTCCTGCATGAATAAACATATAAATTTGAGATTCAAAAAGGGTTATCATCGTCAGGAAAAAGAGATTCCTTCTTTCTTAAGTGCTCGTTTGATTGCCTGCAGAAAATGATAATTTCGTTTTCGCTCATTCTTAGTGAAAAATTAAATCATTACATTTGAGGGAATTTTGATGAGGTTTGTAGAGTTGGAAATCAATATTGGTTTCTAAATACAATCAACCAAATTATGGAATTAACAATTTTTACTCATTTTCCAAAACATATTTTCTTATGTCAAGCAACCAAATGAGCCATAAAGTGATTTTCAACAAATTTCAATGATCTCAGATTAAAGGAGCCTGTCTAATTACAGCAATATGATCAAGCAAGAAAAAAAAGAAGATCATACCTGCAATCGTAGCATTGTCCCAACCCTGCAACAGGTTTCCAATAGTGGCTGCTATGGCAATAAAAACAGCCCCGTCCATATCTCTAGCAAGGAACAGATACCGTTATTCTCAGACCACAGCTTTCTGCAACAAATTCACACATTAAGAGAAATAAAAAGCATAGTTATCAAAACGCAAACATCAACTAAAAAGACGAAAGAAATCAAATAAAGCACATACCTTCGATGGGAATTAAAAAAAAAATTCTGATCAATTGACCGAATAATAAAAAATTGCAAGGACAGCGATTACAAAGAAACAGCCCCACGTAAGAACACTGGCAGGTCAATTGCCCTGTAAAAACTAGGGTCAGTAAATGGACTCCTGTAATCAATTAGAAAAGTGCAATCGCCGTCGAACAACATAAAAACGAAGTACATGAAAGAAATCTATAGGAAGAATCTTTTACCTACCCAATCTCAATCCGAAACTTGTAATCCCTTATCAACCTCCCTGCCAAAGCCAACCACTCAAGCAGCAAAACACAAAGAACAAGGGTTTTCCCGATTGAGACGAATCAAGATGACATTTTTCCGATTCGAGAATAAAAACATCTCAAATTTAACTGGAAGAAATATGCTCCCTCGTGATTCTTAAAATAATCTGATGTCGTGAGACCCAAGCTCTTGCCTGAACACCTCCGAGCTCCTTTTCAGTGTGGAATACCGAGGCTTTCTAGCACAGGAAAGAGCCAAAATCAGAATAAAATATCACCAGGAACTCGCAAGCATAAATGTAACCAATCTGTCAAAGATCAAACCTTCCCATTCTGAGCAATGAGATCCCTGGATTCTCTAATGGAGCCGCAACGGGTTCATGAAATGGGTGGTAAAAGATGAAAGGATAGGGATGAGGAGATAGCGAAAATAAGCGAAAGGAGAGAGAGAGAGAGAGAGAGAGAGGATTCTCTTCGCCAAAGTATACGGGAGAAGGGCGTCACTGAAATGAGAAAGGAAATTTATGTTTACATGCTCCCCATGGGCCAAATGAGAGAAATATGTTAGTTTACTTTATTTCGTAGAAATATATTTAAAATTTTTATTTGGATCAAACTATCTTATTATCATTTGCATCAAAATATCTCTCTAGTTTGCATAATACTTTTTTAAATTTATTATAATTAAAATTGATTTAAATGACAGTTGGAAAATACTTGAATAAAATTATTTTTTAAAAAAATCAATGAAGATAATGAAGATTCAAACAAGATTTGAATAAGATATTATTAGAGAATTTTGTAAAATAATTTAATTGGATGTTAAATAAAACTCTTATAATGTTTGAGCATTGTTCAAACTTTATAAACACTAGAGTAAAATATAGCATAATGCGATCACTTAGGGTGTCAATATTTGACACGACCCGAAAATTTCTGGTTAGGATCAACCTGTTTTGCAAACGGGTCAGTTTTATGTTCAAGGATTCGACCTGCTTTAAAACGGGTCGGGTTTGAGTCAACCCGCTAACCCGAAGTTGACCCGGATCAACCTGCTAACCCGAATCAGCAGTTCCACCCGCAAGCCGCCACAAGCATAAGGTTTGTTTTAGCCCTTCTCTCGCAGTCCTCGCTTAGGGACCCACGACGGTGCGAGTCGAGCGACTGAGCTACCTTCCTTCAATGATATTCATTCATGTTGGTCCGAAAGTCACGAACAACTCGCCTCCTTCGATGACGTTTCTTTGTTGTCGGATCATACGTCACGAACAGGCAAACTTGCCTCCTTCGGCGATGTTCCTTTATGTCAGCTCAGAAGTCATGAAAACTCGCCTCCTTCGATGACGTTCATACCTATCAGCTCAAAAGTCACGATAGCTTGCCTTGACATTCCTTCATGTCAGCTCAGAAGTCATGAGAGCTTGCCTCCTTCAACGACATTCCTACTTGTTAGCTCGGAAGTCACAACAGCTCGCCTCGACGTTCCTTCCTATCAATTCGGAAGTCATGAGAGCTTGCCTCCTTCGACGACGTTCCTACATGTCGGCTCGAAAGTCACGACAGCTCGCCTCGACGTTCCTTCCTATCAATTCGGAAGTCATGAGAGCTCACCTCTTTCGATGACGTTCCTACCTGTCAGCTCGAAAGTCACGATAGCTCGCCTCCTTCAAGTTTCAACCTGTAGGCTTCAGCGTTTAGTGTCAGGTCGAGTCGGGTCAACTTAGAAACCTTACAGGTCAGATCCGTGTTAACATTTCTGACCCGTTTGCAAAAACGGATCAGATTCGGGTCGTGTCAATCAGAGGAAAGTCAATATTAGGTTCGGCAGTAGATAATAAAATCATGTTATAAGACAAATCCATATGGAATATAATCATGACAAAACATAATATTAAATGAAATAGTTATAAAATTTTGTAGTAACATGTTGAGTACAATAACAATTATTATAACACAGTCATCAAAATTTTCTATGCAACTGACTGCAATCACATTTATGATAGATCAAATCTGGCCATGTATTATAGTGCTATAAGTGCCCAAATATAATAACATATGTATCACTATAGAACTATAGATTGCATAAATATCATCAATATTAAAACAGTTTATATCACTTAATAGTAATTGCATTTTTAATTTGTAATTATGAGTTCATACCACCAAGCCCAAAAATTTAAAAAAGTTTTCAAAATTATTTTTAAAGAATAGCTTTAATATTTTCCTAATGAAAAGGCCCAAAATCTACATAGATATTTAGTAGCTTCCATTGAAGATGGCCGATGATGGAAACTTTGTAAAATGCATAATATCACTAACATTTAATGACAACCATTGAACTTCGCCTCATGCCCATTACAAATACATGAGAATATTTAAGAAAAAATAATGCGCTAAGAATAAACTTGTTGTTGGAAAATATGCTTATATGATGCTCGTGTAATTTTTCGAATTTAGTGGGGCAGGTGGTGATATTTCGAGCAATATAGAGCATATAAAGTCAAATTTTCTAAATCTAAGTAAACCAAAGAAATAGTGAGAAAAATGTTTGGTTAAAAAAAATTGATGATATATATTAATTATTATGTTAAAAAATAGCTATATATAAAATACTTGAAATGTAAGAAATATTTTCTTAATTTCATTAAAAGTGCAATATTAGATATGTATATAATTTTATGAAAAGAGAGTATTAATTAATTTACAGTATATATTTATAAATATTTAATTTCTATTTCTAAGAAAATTTCTATGCCAATATTAAAAAAAAATTGATTATTCCCCTTCTAATTAAAATATTAGGTGACTAAAATTAGCATTCACACATATTTTATATTATAGCATTAAAAAATGATAATAAGTTAAAATGTCATTCATCATAATGCCTCTAATGCGTCATACTTTATAAGTGGTAAAATAGTCCGTTGTGTAAATAAGACGCATATTCTTACGTGGCTATGGCTGTCTAAGATGTGTAAGTTTTTTTTTTCCTTAATTTCTTTAGTTGGATTGTAGCTTCTAAAAAACCAATTAAATATATAAGATAAAAAAGATCTTTTTGATCTCATCAATCTAATTTATTGATTGTCAAGGTTGAAATTTGGATTTCATGTTAACTCAATCGAATCAATTGATTTTATTATGTGTTGGAATATTCGCATAACTCAATGAGAATTTATCATACTATGATTACATAAAAATATCGTAGACAGAGAATGAAGAGAAACTCTTATGAAACACGATATTTGTTATGTGAACAATCTAACAAAATAAAATTATTAGGTTAGCCGAGTTGAAGTTGTTTTACCATTGAGAATTAGTGATTAGAAAAAGTGATATTCCGTGTAATTTGAAGAACTATTAATATATGTAGTTGAGATGAGCTGTATAAGATATTATGTATAGTGGTAGTATGATGGGTCGTTAGATGTATGAGTTATCATTAGGGAGTGGTTAACAATTCAATTGGTTGTTCTCTTAATAAGAGGGAAGACAAATTGTTAGTAATATGGGATTTGGACATCGAACATTAGTGGGTAACAAACGATTGCAAATGAGACATTGAGCAAAGTTGAGTGGTTGGCTTAGTTGCTCTGCTTATAGAAGGGAAGCTATGGGCTAGCAAAACATGCGATGAGCATAAAATGTCAAACGTCAGTGGGCATCGAACAATGATATATGAGAAATCTCGGGATCAACCTACATCATGTGATCAGTTCGATCATTCTATTTATAAAATAGAAGTCAAACAACCATGAAGATATATAGTCTTTGTATGTCAATGATTAGCAGATGCATATCATCCTTCAAAGGTGCACATCAAGTGATTGTCAATATGGAACATTGAAGGTTGAGCAACACTGAATGGTTGGGTTGCTCATTATCATTCTAGAATAGGATATCGAGTAAAAATAAAGAAAAGCATCAAATGTTATTGTCTAACGAGCGTTAGTTGTTTGTGCTGCTTAGGAATGTCGAAAACCATACAGCATTAGGTGTAACATTTGATTTCCCACACCATCATCACAGTAGTCACATTTGGACAATAAGTAATCATCTTAAAACTAATTTCTTAGCAAAATTAAGCAGCATAATAATCAGGGTGAACAACCTGAGTTCTTTAGGGGACGACTAAGGTTTCGTTTGGGACGGCTTTTTTATTGCTTTCTAAAACGGAGTTTTAGTACAAAAATAAAAAAATTTGTACTAAAACTCCGTTTTAGAAAGCAGTAAAAAAGCCGTCCCAAACGAAGCCTAAGTGTATACTTTGGCTTCAACCATATATAACAATAAATACACAAATTTTTATTCAAATTATGGTGCATGCCTTGATAATGAGATATAGTTTAATTGAATTTAGAGGCTTTTACATCACTCAACTTTATTTATGTCGGTCAACTAAGATCTGCAAGATCTTGCATCACATCAACTAATTTTCATCATGATCTCAATAACTTCTTACCACTCGCCCAATGGATACTCCTTAAAGAAGCAATTGAAACATCCATAACTCATGATTATTTACTAATGGCTCAATTCCATGACATTCATGTATCCAATTATCCATGTTTGATTGATTGCCATAAACTAGCTCCTCGCATTCCATATGGATCATTCCTTATAATGCCAATAGAGACAAGCTCCATGATCACTGATTGATCCATCCAACTCAATGTCCACGTGGCTAATCAAAGAACACATTTATACCCATCCTCTTATTGAGCTTAACTTTAGCTAGATCTTGGTGAGTCTAAGTTTTCATAACTGATTATATGACCCTATATATTTAAGCTAACTCTTAGGCCCAACCTAGTTATTCTTGAATTTGTATTTCTTCTACATACTTGACTTACCCTTAAATTGTGCTTAGTCTTTAAAGAATTTATTCCATGACACCCTTCTTAAAGGCCCTAGATCATGTGGCTTAACTCTTATATGAATAAAATCAAGCTTTGACACAACTTTATCATAACTTGATATAGTTAATTCTAAATGGTTTAAACCTATTAATAATCCTAGTAGGACCAAGATAAATCCTTGAATCCCTTTAAGATCGATAAAACTAAGTCATTAGCTCCTAAAGATGACATCTCAATCCCGTATTTTGATTAGTCATTGCCTCTTGTGGGGTGCCATTTTCAACTCAGCCAAAGATGTATTTTCTCTTTGTGAGCTTTAGTTCATTATCTCTAATCATGTTGGCACCATAGCCAAATATTCATAACATCATCAAGTTCCACTTTCTATAGGTTTCTACTCGTGGAAAGATTTATTAGTCTCTAAATTGTGAACAAGTTTCATGTAAGTTGAGAATTCTCAAACTACTACTAAATTGACAACAACTTAACACCAACTATTTAACAACCCATTATTTTTGTAATTGATGGCTCTCTTGCTCGACATCTTTTAACTTGATGGCTTTGGTGTATTGGAGTTTTATTTGTATAACACTTGAGCACAATGTGTTCCCGATCTTGCTTATTATATCAATGACATTAAGAGTTTTGGACAAGCCAAA